CTATCTATCTATCTATCTATCTATCTATCTATCTATCTATCTATCTACTTTAATCGAACGTAATTTACATTAAACTTCATTTGAAATCAACTCCACTTGCATGAAACTTAATTTCTAGTGACGCTCCCGTGCGCCTCTCCACTTCCCAAAAGTGATGCCCGTCTCAAATACTTACGCGCTGGAAACACTTTCACCGCTTTTTATCCGCGTTTATCGCTCTCAGTTTTCTGTTTTCAGTCACGTTCCTGACCTCAGCAAACAAAAGTCTCAGTCTTGACATGTTCGAAGTACCGTCGATATTGTCAAATTTCTGTTTTTTTCCCCTCAAAGTTCATCACCAGGAGAGATCCAGCATCCGCAGAGACACCTTCCCGCGATGAGGAGAAGTCAGTGAGACGCATGCACAGCCGCGCACAGCCGCGCCTATTTATGGGCAGGGAGCGTCACCCAGCCTTTTGGATGTCAAAGTCCCACCCATAGGGTGGTTGCAATGGTTCAGCAGCAGAGATTGGCTCCAGGTGTGAAGAGTAATTAGCTTTCTTTTAATTTTGAATGTAAAACTTACATGTCAGGATTCAGGAAGCCCTGACTGGATCCTTTCCCTGCACACTGTGTGTGAGGAAGACTGGGGTGATGCGGTGATGTCCTGCTAAGACCTGGGGAAAATATCTTATCATCAACGACAGCTGTGAAAAAAAAGAGCTGCGAAAACCGTGGAGGGAGGATGAACTTGCATGTTAAGGGGGGAGATTTGATGTTGATTGTTTAGGAAAGCTTAAGCCATTAGTTTTATGTTGCTGTCATTCAGGTCAATGCGGAATTAACAACAGGCTGCTGCACATACAGAGACATTCACACCCAGGAAAGGCCCCTCTCCCTTTCTGTGCCATGTCATCTGCAGTATATGGGCATTTATCATCAGTTTGAGCAGTGGAAAAGTTGAAAAGAGCTGAAAGTTGAAGATGTCTAATGATTTATTTACCTTGTTTGGGTGTTTCAAATCACACCAGTCAGACAGTTTTATGTCTGGGAGTATGGGAGTCGGGATATTGATATGGCTCATTTGCGCTGAATTGTTACCATTTCAAGTTTAACCTGTTCATCTAAATCACAAGAGGGATGTCACAGGATCTACAAAAGCTCCCAGTACTGCAGAAAAAATATGATGGAATATGTTGCAAATCAGATCAGAAATGATTATTTTTTGGTTGGGGAGTAAGCGCTGTTGTAGACGTAAAAATATATGTCAAAAGATGCATATGTCAGTATTATGGAGTTAACACTGCTGTTCGTGGTGGGGTGCAGGGAACATTCAGATGATAATTCTCCACAGAGAAATAAATAATAAATATACAACATCAAACACAATTAGACCACGGAACCACCTGCTGATTGACAGCTGCCTTGACAGGGAAATCTTCCTTAGATTTCCACTTTAGAAGAAGCCAGCTGCTCTTTCTTTTATAAAACATGTCCCCATTTGTATGCCTCCTGCCTTGTCCCAGTTATTCAATTGTCTCATGTTGTGTTTGCATGTTTATTGCATTTGGTGGAATCATCTAATTTCCTCCAAGAACACAGATCATAAGAACAAATCAGGTTTGCCACATGGGTGAACAAATGACCACTGAAACACACACGTCAGCACTAAATGGATAACAGTAAAAACATGTTCAAGGAACACACAAACGGTTCCCAATAAAGAGCCCATAGCTCATGCTGTGTGTGTTGTAACGCTCTGTGCGTTCAAAAAAAGATTTATTTTATACTAAGAAACCTTTTTGTATTTTTTGTTAATTACACATCACTTCCTGGTTTATGTCAGCCATTCACTGAGATATGTCTGAAATAGTCAGTTGGGTGTTACATATTATATTAAAATTAGATGTATCTGTTTTTCCTCACAAAACTGTCACCTCTGCCTCTACGTTGGCTCATATGAGTCACCGTGGCTTTAAGCATTTGGTATGCCTCCTGCATTTCTATATCCAGCTTTCTATCTGTGGGCTCTGAGATCATATTAGAGAGGTGTCAGTCACAGAGTTTGTTCAGATGACAGCAAAAATCTGTCAGGAATCAATCTCTGCAAATGCAAATGCAGTCTGACTGGTGCGCACTAGAGTAGCCCAGGACCAGGTTAAGTCAATATTCCACTGCAGATGGTGAGGAAAGAGAAGCAGACGTCTTTGTGCATGTGCGTAGCGAGGGTTGAATGGAAAAAAAGGGAAATGAATGAGATGTTGTCCAAAGAGGCGACACTGTGGCTATCACAGGTCTTAAGCAAAGAGAAGACAAAAAAACTATCCATCTTATTGAATGTTTACCCGAAACCATCCTCTAATTTTGTCTGTGCTATTGTACTGAATTTCTCTTCTTTGTTGCTTCTAAGTCAAAACACAATTTAAAGATAAGACAAATTGCTCCTTAGAGTTACCTTTTTGCTTCCATCAGTGAGTGAAGCTTTAAGGATTATTTGGCTGATGTGAAAATATGTATGTCAAGAACCTGCCAACCCGGGTATTTATTTGCCTAAAGCCACTTATTTTCCACTTCAACTAGCAATTCAAATGTGAGAACAAATAGTGAAGTGTGAACACCAGAAAAGACCAGATTCCCTTTTATTGGACTTGTGCCTCGAGCTGTTGGTGGGGCCATTTGTTTCCACACAGACTCCAGATGGTGCTGTTGCCTGTGGTTAGGTCCAGATGCAGGAAAGAACAATCGTGGAACAAGTCACACCACTTTCAACATGACGAACATGATGCTATAGGCTATGAATCTTTCTATAAACTAAAAGGAACCTATGTCTGTCCATGGGAAATGCTCTTTTAAGTGAGCCAGTTTTGCACTTGGACAGCCTGAACCATTTTTTTCAAAGGCCCTCTCCCTTTTGAAATAGATCAGGCAAATGATTGTCGAACTAGGTGAAAGACAAATAGTCAGGTGAGTAGATTTATTAGACATATGTTGTGTGTAAAAATATACATTATATATTTTAAATATGTTTTTTCTGTTTTTCTTTGCTTTGGATGAAAATGTCTGCTAAATGCATGAATTTAACATAATGTAAATCTTAGTAAATCATTGTAGTGTATATTGTTAAGAAAAACTGATTTCTTTTTTCTCAGAATTAATTACAGACAGAATTTAAATGTAAAAAAATCTTATTCTTGTCTGTTTTTTCAATTAATGACAATTGACTTTTTGTAACTATAACTGATTAATGAATATTCATTAGCTAGCTTATTCTCTGGTCAATAAGTGGTTGTTTGGTTGAAAAAGAAAAACATTGTCACTATCCCAGTGATTTTGCTTATATACAGGAGAATTTACAGAAGAGCTAGTAACGATTCTATATGCAATTTTGTTACAAGAACCTCCTATCATAAAATGTGTTTTTCCCAACAAAACCTCTTTGTAGATTCCCCTGAGGGGAAAATCAGATGAGTTAATTAGGAAAGACTGAAAGGCTACACTATATAATCAAAATAAGCCAAGTTGACAATATTAGTTATAGCTTGTCAGGACAATAATCTAACAGTTAGTTGATTTTTCCAAAAAAAGACATAATCATTATCATTTTTGCCACACTTGGCTTTTACAGGAGAGACAGTGTCAGCCTGTATTTAACCTCCCGGCATGCAGAAGTGAGAAAAGATCTGCATATATTAGAAGAGGAAATAATAACTTTGTCTGAGGCAGGTGTGTGCTCATGTATGAGAAACAAATATTGAACAACAAGTAGAAAGCTTTTAATTCCTTTGCAAGTTGTTCAGTCTGAACAAATAAGATACAGCACAGTCATAAAAAACAAAAAATTATAATTATAATCCGAAGTAAAAGCTGCAGCCAGTATGAATATTTAGAAAAGACTATTTATGTCAGAAATAGAAGGATTTGAACACCTCTTTCTATTCAGACTATTTAGAACATGCAAAATGAAAAAAGAGCTGTAATGAACTTTTTTTAAAACCAGAATATTTGTAGAACATCACAGAATACCCCCTTTTTAAATGTTTGTTCCATCTTAAATAGAGTAGATGATGATACATGATGTGTAATCCAATTTCAGCCCCTTGGTGTCTGCAGATATCTGCCGTATGTAGTTTGGATGTGTTCATTGACAACACTGACATGAGAACAACAGCAACATTTCTATGCCGTCCCTCCCCCTTGACTTAAGTTCACTCACACAGATTGAAGTACCAGGTGACACAAAAGCTGCAGGATTATGTGGGAGATTCTGATGACGTCTTTTTCTAGTTTCCAATTGGCTGACAAAGAAAAGAAGTAATTGAGGTCATACTTTCTGGATTTCCAGCCTTGGCCAGAAAATAACTGAGGAAGAATGGAAGCTAAACAGGAAACAAGTCCAATAACACCTTTTGACAAACCCATCTCTATAATTTGCAGCTGCTTCTTGATTAAGGGATTTGCCTTTTCACTTTTTCCCACACTTGCTTCCAGTGTGGCATTCTCGCGTTAGCTCCCAGGTCTCATCCTCATTTCACAAACCTTGACCAGTTTAGTTGTTTATTTCTACTTTTCATCTTTTTGTTGCATAGCTCCTAGTTCTGTCATCATCCTTTATCAACAATGAACACTGGATATTATTTAGTACAAAGAAAGTAATAAAGATGACATGTTACATGTAGTAGACAAGCAGTTTAATAGTTTAACACTAGTATTTGATGTGAATTTATGCAGATTTGTTGAAAAGAGGTCCATACCAAGCATGAATATCCATGAATGCATACAATGCTGGAACAAGTCACATGGAAATTCTTGTTACATGTTTCTTTCTATAATTCCAGAATTGAAAAACTATTGACTTTTGTTGGCTACAAATGCTGATATAGTGTTTTAAAAAAGGAACAGTACATGCATTTTTTTAAAAACAAACCCCTATGGTAAAACAGCCACAGGAAGAAAAACAATCAACAGAAATTAAAACTCAGAATACAGCTATGAGAAATTGAGAGCCGGTTGCAGGTTTACAGGTTTTACTGAAGGAAAAAATGAATGTCAATCAATAGAATAAAAAAAACGTAAAATGGAGGGCTTGTTGCAAGTTTACAGATTTGACTGAAGGGGATATTTATGCCTTAGAGATTGAGACAAGCATTTCAGCGTGTCAGAATACAGATTGAAAAATATCCTCATAGGGTGATTCAAAGGCTGATCATATTCAACACATACATTTCTATACGATGGGCGCAGAAAACTGGGACCTGTTATATTCAGAAGGACATTGATAAATTAAAACTACACATCTATAGAGTAAATGGACTATTTCTTGATCTGCTCTGCAAACGTCAATACTGTACAGTTCCAAGCGTGGTCTTTTTTAAAAATGTTTTTTCTCAAGTTGAATCCAAAAAGCTAAAACAATGAATGTTTGGACGTTACAGGACTCAAAGATAAAACCATCAGAAGCTATATGGCCACATAGTCTGAGTTTGCCTAAGTCATAAGCATGGCATGCTCTCAGTTTAATTGTACAATTTCGATTACTCCCTGGATCCAAAGTTCTACTTAGTTATTTTCCATTTTTATGACCACGATACTACACTTCTAATCATTAACTAACTGTTTCTTCGTGCCCAAGACCTAATTTTCCTAATATATTTTCCAACAGCGTTAGCATTCAAATATATACAAGCCCACCTTAGGTTTTCCAACCTGTCTCAAATGACAACAGCAGCAAAACAATTTAAAAGTTTAAAATAAAGAAGCATATTTCAAATGTACAGATTGTTCAGGTAAAGGTTTAAGTCAGAATCAGCCTTTCTGTTCTCAGTTATTTTAATTATTTTAACAAGCTGTGACTCACTCAGTTAGAAAGAAAACAAGCCGTATAGAGTAGATGGTGTCCAGGGTATAAACAATAAAGTTGAAGATTGTCATTATGGTGACGACCACGTTTTTATCCCAGGCACAGGGATAGCCACAATTGACTGGTCTTCCATTGTTCTTGAATATGTATAGTGGCCAAATCACCATAACCGTCACGTACATTACGGCCGCAACGATGTTATAGACGATAGCTAGCTTGTCAAAACTAAATGGAAAAGAAGATTTAAGCTGTGTGAGGGAAAGCACAATGATGAGGATGTTGAAGATAAAACACAAGGAGTACACAGCCACGCACCACTTCAGTGGTGGGGAGCCTGAGTACTGGCCTGGTTCCAGGGACACGAAGATGAGACAGGCGAGGAAGGTCTCCAACATCTTCATAATGCCAGGCACCGTGGAGAGAAACCCACTTGTCTCGCCTCTAGGACGAAGGCGCGTTAAGACTACTTCCCCTACATATCCGAAATGACAAAACACTGATATCACGGAGGCTCCGATCTGCCGATAGCAGATGTTGCAGGTGAAAAATGTGGGGTAGATGATGGAGACAGACAGGCACAGCAGGCTCGCCAGCATGGCAAAGGCGGCGGTGAAGTCATCCCAGGCAAAGGGTAATTTCCTGCTGATCGAGGTGAACTCCAGGATGACAATGAGAAAGGTGACGAGAAAGCAGAAGAACCATGTGAACATGCACCATGTCCAGTATGATGATGACTGGGGACCCACCGTTGCCACCAGAATAAAACACATTAAAGTCAGTATGGTCACCAGTATTCGCATGATCCCCACAGGCTGGGTGATGGTTTGAAAATCCACATTAACCATGGCTGGAAAGAAGTCTGTTTGACCAAAAGAAGATTGTTGTTTAATTCCAAAGTTAGTTCACTGTGCTCGGTACACCCTCATGCACCACGTGGTTTTGATTTCAAGCCTTGTCCCATTGAAGAACTCCATTAAGTTCTACTTTCCAAAAGGTGAGTTCCCTCAAAATGAACCACAGGTGTGGCGTACATCATATTCTAACAGAGCATTCTGGGCTTATCTGTGCCGTTTATGGCCCCTGTTGCAAAGTGCGGATTGGTTACTGGTAGGTTGTTATCATGTTCACCTTTTGAAGCTGACTGGACTCTTGTCCTGGACGCAAGCCCAACTCAGGAGCACTAGTCTAAAACAGAGATGAGATGTGGGTCACATTCCAAGAAATGCTGGCTTTTCTTATTCTGTCCATGAGTTTACTTCTTCACATTATTCGTAGATTGACTAAATTGATCACTTTAGGTGATTTTAATAAGATGATGACAACTCCATGAAAATTTTCAATAGATAAGTCCTTTGTAAGCATTCATAATCAGGTCCTGTTGGGATTTTTTCAGGGTGTTTGCATTCATGAACAATATAAAGCTGCACTAAAGCTGGATTGTTATGAGTGAAAACAAATATCCCTTTCACTCATTTTTGACTGCGCAATTTAGACTTGGCATTTACTTAATGGTCTGCCCAATAGACAGATAATTGCGAAGACTGATGACATTTTTTCTGACAGCTTCAATCCTTCACGGTTTCAGTTTCACTGGTTTGGAATTATTCGTATGAAATTTAACAGGTACAAGCACTCCTACAGCTCTACTGCTAATTCCATTCAGAATTCAGGACAGGGTAGGAGGAGTCCTACCTGATTGGTTAATGTTGTTTTTTCGTCTCCATGTGGTGTTCTTGATGTTGGCAGAAATGGATAAAATGCCCTTTTCCTACCGTGTTTTGTCTGCTACTGATGTTGTTTCAGCACTCTGTATGAACCCGCCTTCATAGACTTTTAATCGAGTGTCTCTGTTTTACCAGCTGCAACATTCATTCCCTACAGGGACATAATAAAGCTGAATCTTTAATCTTAATACATTTTCTGTCATGAATCAGGATTACTTTTCACATCTTCAACGTAATCGAATTAAACAAAAATTTAAGTATTTATGACAACATTTATGCATGAACATCAACTGTGATGTCTGTGTTTTTATGTTGCTTATTAGTAGCACTTTAGACGAAGACATAAAACTTATAATGATACACTTAGCCAAATTTGACACAATTTCCTCTCTTTCTGCATCATCACATATTGTGTGTGTTTATTGTTTAAAGATGCCAAACACGACACCAAGGAAAAGTAATTTTTTTGTAAGATTTTGAATGTCAAACAATTCCTTAACAACAACTAATGCAATATTTTCTATTGGAAATCATACAATACTATGAGTATAATTGTATCTGTGATTGTATTTGAAGAAAAGAAGCAGCTTATACACATAAATGGTGCGGAAAACATTTCTTGAAAAAAACTGGATATACAATGTAGAACATCACAAATCACACGTGATTAAAAATAAAATTGTTATTACGCCCTCCTCTCTTTGTATTTCAGCACTGATATTTACACAAGTATAAGCATTTTAAACTCATTTAAAAGCTGTGACTTGACAATATAGGAGGTGAAATGTGTTTAAGCCTTGGTCACATTAAATCAAATTTAATTAATCTGGTAGGTTTGTAAATTACCTCTAAAGAGTATTCAGTTTTGTACCCGTTTCGACACAAGAATGCACAACAGCATCACTTCTCACATATTAAGTTCAAATTGCAGGTGGTGTGGTCAAAAATCAGAATGAAGGACAAACAACAAAGCATTCTTATGTTTCGTGGGTGAAGAAAACCAGCCTGAAAGAATAAAATGTATCCACAATGTAGGCAACAAGGTTAACACATGCCATGAATGAGATAACTACTAAAATATTCCATGGACAGAAGACGGAGGGGCAGCTTGGTTTGGATGAGTTCTGAAAGCTGTACAATGGCCAAATGACGACTGTTGTGATGTACATCAGCACAGCCAGCACATTGCAGACTATCAGGACTTTATCAAAAGGAGCCGGGAAGACAGAGAGCAAGCGGCAGATGGTTAAAATGATGACAAGGAGGGCAAAAATGAAGCAAATGGAGTAGACCGCAACACACCACTGCAGACCTGGAAATCTGGAGTAGTCATTGTAGCCCAAGCAGATGAAGATAATACAGGCCACAAATGCCTCCAGAACCTTGAGAAGGCCTGGAACAGTGGAAAGAAATCCACTGATCTCTCCAGCTTTGGCCCGAGTCATACCAACTTCTACAGCGTACAGGACAAATGTCAGATAGGAGGTAACGGAGGCCCCAATCTTCCTGCCACAGGTTGAACAAGTGGGGAAGATGGAGTATAAGGTGGATGCTGCAAACACCTGCATAAGTGTAATGTCAGAAGAAAACAGTCATTTTCAAATACAGACCTCTAGCTATTGATCTAATTGTCACATAGTGCTCATAAATTAATATTTTAATATTATCATTTTCACAATATTGATATTTTGACTTTTACAACACCAACACGTTTCAGCTTGCTGGCCTTTTTAAGGGAGACAAGAAGGCCAGCAAGCTTAAGTACGTGTCAGTCAAACTCTTTGACTCCCCAAAGAAGGCAAACAATAAACATATCTGTGTTATCTATATGGAGAAGAAGAAAAAAAATATTCCTACATACATCACAGCCTCACATCAGTATCACCACAAAGTTCCCATGCTATATTTATTCATAACTTAAGCACCATGTTGTTCCTGTAGTGTATTTCTTTTATTAATAGCTAAATCTAGATGTTACCACTGCTGAGGGGAAACTAATTTACAAACACTGTGGCTGGATATGAATTTACTGACACCCCACATGATATTAGACAACTAGACAACTAGAACAAGAATAAAAATAAAAACTGTACTCACCATCAGGGTTGCCAACATAGCAAAAGCACTGGTGAAATCACCCCAGGAGATGGGCAGCTTTGTGCTGAGGCTAGTGAATTCCATGATGAGGATAAGCAAAGTGATGCAAAAACAAAAGCACCAGGTAAACAGGCACCATGTCCAGAAGGAGTCAGCTTGGTGGCCCAAAGAGGCCACCAAGCTGAAAGAAATACAAGTGAAGATGACCTCCAGCTGACGTACAATGCCCACCGGCGCTGTCAGTGTCTTAAAGTCCAGAGTGACCATCTTTACTGGGATCCCAAAGTCAGTTTACGGGAGATGAGGGCAATTATCTAAGTAGCTAATATTCAACCTTCTCGTTTGTTTCCACTGTTTCTACCAATCCTTATTTAGTTGATACTAAATTTGACATTGTGGGAGGAAAAAGAGAGCCAGTTGAATGCAGAACTTCTGGTCACACCTTTTTTTATCACCCCATTTATGTTCCTCCTTAAATGGCGAGTATGCAAACATCCGCAGGTGCAAAACGGAGTGACAGGGTGTGTTTTTATGTGACAGGAGACAGATGATAATAAGATGAAGTCGTGTACTTCATCTTTCTGGAATTCTGGCATCATTTCAGCAAAAACAGGAACTGATTAGTTATTGATTTCCTGGTGCCTGGTTAGTTTTTCCAAATCAACTTGTTAAAAGTTATGTTTGCTTACCGAATGGCTTACCACTGAAAACTAACTTTTTACCAGAGACGGAAGACGAACTGGACTTTAGCCATACAGAAAATGGACAGATGAAGGTTAATACACATGCCTGGGAGACTGCTATCTTTCATAGTGTGATGTGGAAGATTCACTATCACTGACTGAAAATGAAAAACAAAAGCAAAATAAGACATTTAGAACAGTTAGAGTGTGAGCTATATCTTGCTATTGATTTTCATATGACATCACTGTGCAAACAATGTCAAACAGTAGTCTACAGAAAGCCTGTTGACCCTTCTGTATGTGATGCTTTGGATAAAAAGGTGAGAGGGAACCAATAGGTTTGACAAACTGATCATCAGATGGAGTAACAAAGTTATTGTCATGATTTATTCAATTTCCATGGTTAATTGTTGCTTAGTAGTTGTTTGCTTTTGTTGGTCTGCATTCTTTAAGTGGGTATGAAAACTATCTTTTAATTGGAAACTGATTGAAATACCTTCTTTCCAAGCATGACAGAGCCTCTCTTTCTTTCTCATATCAACTTACTTCACATTCTTCACATCTTCTTGGTAATTAAACCCACCTTTATGCCAATCCTACTCTTTCACAAAGGCCCATTTTGTGAAAGTCATTTCCTGTCTTGTCACCGTTCTTTGCCTGCTCCTTCTAGTTTAGCTGTTGACATAAACCAACACCATGTTGCTCTAAACGACCAACTTAGAAAGAGCTATCGTAATTCATATCAGGATAGCCACGCCCAGAGCAAGCAGAATCTAAGACAGATTCTATAGTGATACTTTGACATAATTATACTTTTTTTCATTTTGTATTACACTATAGGTCATTTTCATGGATTTTTCTCATTGTTCTCCTATATTTGTCTTGATGTTTAAACCTTCAAGTCATTGATGAGGAGTGGCAGTGGCATATTGTGCTTCTCATGAAGTGAAACCAAAAAGAATCCCGAACACTGATATTTTGCAACCTGCCGCGGCTTATCTAGAAACTTTTTTATTACTATTACTCACTGCCTGTAAAACTGAACTCAGCTGCGGCACAAGAACAAGGGGGCTCTACTTCCCACACCACAGTGCCATTTTCATGTTAGACATTTTCATCTGCTTACATTGACGTACACTCATTACACTAAATCTGTAAAAAAACAAACAAGTGAGGCCTATTTGAAAATGGCAAGAGCATGCAAGTAAGATTTTATAATTACTATTACGTGTGGTAAATGTAAAGTTTATGTAGTTACTGCTCTTTGTGACCTTATTAAAAGATAGAATAGTGTTTGTTCTTGGTACATAGTTACATGATATGTCATTATTTTCCCAAGGATGACTCAACCCTCCGATCTATGAAAAACTATAAAGCCTTATTACCTCTCTTATCCTATCACTGGCATACAATATTTTCCATTTTGCAGGTTCATATGAGAACAATCAGTTTCTTCAGCTTTGGAAAGTAATGGTGCCAAATGATCTTTTTATTTATGTTTTATAAAGTATATCTTAAGAAAGAACAATTACAATTGCTTAACAATTAGTTTGTTTTGATGTGTTGTTTTGGTGTTCATTTTGTAATTTGAAAAATATTCAGGATTATTTGTAAACCTGTTCTTGGTTTTAGTATGAATACATATGACATCCTATGTCTCTGAGGATCCTGTGATGGACTGGTGACCTATCCAGTATGTACCCCTACTCTTGGCCAATAACACCTCCAACCCCCCACAAAATAGTTTGAATAAGTTAGAAAATCAATGAATGAGCAGATGGTTAGTTTAATTTCCCGCCAATTTGATTTATCAGCAACAGTTCGAATTTAGATAATAAAGGCTGCTCGTCATCCTGTCTAGAATTGGGACATGTTCATCTGAGAAATCGCCCCTCAGAGTAAACCTAAAACTCTGGCCAAACAAGGCTTCGATCATGTTAAGGACCTCTTATACCAGTGATGAATATTAGCAAGATTTCTCAGTGATGTCCGACAGCGGGGTTTCTGGCTCTGCACTTTGGCGCTCCCTTCAGGTGGATGCTAAAATGAGCAGATTGCTTTTGCTTCGAGACATAACTAAACTCACAAATGCACCACATTTGAAACGTTATATGCAAAAACCTGTGACATTTGTACTGAACTGGACAAAAAAACTTTCTACATTGGGTTCAGTTTCTCACAGAAATATTTAATCAAAACTGAATGAAACTGATGAAAAACCAAAAGAACAGGCGACAGGGGGAAAATATTTTGGAGGTATTTGATAGCCAGTCTGATGGAAATAAAAACTGACAAGCAGTGAAACTATGAGGGGTATTACCATGGGCAAATGCCGGATTTCAACCTTAGGATGCCTTCTGATCCAACTTATTTTTGTGTACCAGAGCTTTTAATAAGCATGTCAGCATGTGTGAAGTCAGTGATGCTTTGACAATTGAACAAGTTCAGGAAGACGCTTTAACACTTCTGCTTACATTTGAGAGTGGTAGGAAGTAAACTGAATTGGAGTGAACAAACTGTGCTCTTTGTTTTAATTCTCAGCAAAAGTCATGGCTCATCTGACCTGTGATCATTTGTTTTCTGTATTAATACAAAAAATTTGCAAGTTAACTTTCACTTTCTCCAGTTGAACATTTGCACACCCACAAACAGGGGTATTGATAAAACTAACTAAAAAGTTTTGGACCTCTGTAATCAGCAGCAAAATACCACTCAATATTTGCTCTTGCTAAACTTAAGCAATCATAAAGACAAAAAAAAAGAGTCCAAACATCTTTTTGGAACACTTGAAAGAAGAAAAACTCGAGTCAGTCATATGCCAATCTTTAAGTCTAGTATGTAATAATGTGTGGAACAATGCAGTGTGATTAGTTCAAGTGCTCCAATGTTGGAATTTTGCTGGCCTCATGTGGGCATTTATTGAAATGGATGGCCTGGTTGTTTTTATTTAAAGTTAGATGTAGATGTCCTCACAAAAAAAAAACATTTGCGGGAGTTAGGGCCTTGTGGATTTTATCAGGATGTAATATGTCAAAGTAATGAGTTCAGAGGAGGGTCATTTGCACTCACTTAAAGAACAGAAAAGAAAATGCCATTGCACAAATGTTCATGGTTGAGAGTTAGGTGTTGGATTGAGATCTAAAGAATTGTATGTATCAAGAATTGTATGTCCCAGAAGTATTTCAAATACAAAATATACGATTTTAATAATTTGTATTACAAGACTGTGAATGTGATGTGGAAATGAACATCTCTTCAGACCTGGATGAGCTCTTGGGACAGTGAGGAAGATACATTGTACGTTTGAGGCTGTGTTACTCCCTCACACAATTTTCCATTTTGTTTAGTCTTTCAGCTAAACACCCACGTGTCACAAATGCCAAACGAAACTTTCTCAGCTTGAACATGATGTGAAAATGTAACAGGAAGCTGTGGTATGAGGTAAGTTAAGTTTTGTTTCTGAGTAATTCTTTTAGACTGACAGCTAAAGGATTAGTTACAATAGAATCAATAAAAGGCATTCTTTTAAAAGACCGGAGCACACGCTCTTCGTCTCTTTACATTACACAGCTGCTTGTGTTTTTGAAAAAGGATTTGTTCAAACTGTGTCCTATTTTCTTAACCAGTCGAGTGGAAAAGTGGCATTGGTTATGGGGCGGACCTCGGAAAAGTAATGCGAGACAACTTCCTCTGTTGCCCTACAAACCTCCTGTAGCGGCTGTGTTTTGTCAGCTCTGAAAAAGCCTCCCTACTCTAATAAGGATTTCTTGCGTTTTTCCACACGCACAACCTAGAAGCTCAAGGATTAAAAACATTTCCTGAGTTTTGCTTTGTTGATGTGGATCTAAAATCAGTAAGTTAATCTTGTTTTACTTTGAGAAATATCAGAAATCTGTGACTTTTTTCTTTTTCATATATATATATATACATATGATAGATTATTTTATTGCAACTGTCATCTCCACTGATGTCCACCTATTGGTCCACTGGTTAATGCCACAACAGGCCCCAACAACTTTCAAGCTACATCTCTTGGAATCTGCATCCACAATGGAGGTTCTGAAAATGGCCCAGCCAGATTCTGCACTCCCTGCGTCTCTCGAGATGTGATAATAATTCTCCTGAAAATGTCCACCAGATGTTTCCAATTCACCCTCATTTCGGTCCAGGGGTTCAAAGAAGATCTGAGAAAAGGGATCTTATATAATGCAGGAACTTGATTTGAGCTATTTCCAAACAACATTTCCGCATCAAACAATGTTATAAATCACCATGCGGTTTTTCACATGTATAACAAAGAGGAATAATGGAAACCTTACTGTAAGATCAGTTTGTATGGACACTATACACAAACCTTTTCTGCTGTTATTTTGAAATGAATGTCTAAAGGTTTGATGAAACAGCAGCATAACTCATTTTAAAGTTTTAGATAGTAAAACACACTTCTCTATTGTTTAGTTGTTATTAAGGTATGTGACTCATAATCATAAACTGACACTTTAAAAGTATAAATGACGTAAAGTAAAAGGTTTTTAGATCCAAACTGAATCAGTGGTGATTACTCTTAGCATTGTGTCAGTGTGTTTGATGCGTACACTGAAAACAGGATGTGGTTATTCCACCACATAGATGAAGTTTCAGGCTATGTGTGTTCACTTATTTCTGCAAATACAGCTTCAAGTTTTATATATCAAAGTTCTCTCTGAGACTTCCTCATCTACTTAGAAAATGACAAAAAGAGATCATTTTGATACATGATTTGTGTTTGTTTTGCATTAGGACAATTCAGTAATTGCCTAACATTTCTGAATAAATCTAATATATCTAATATATTCCTTATTCAGACAGGACTGCAGAAGATGGAAAAAGGTTATCCACATGAGTCAGCTCCACCTTACCCAGGCCCACCTATGGATAATGGAGGTTTTGTACCTTACCCAGGGATGTATCCTCAGCAAGGATACCCTTCTGCACCCCCTCATGGTGGATATCACGGAGGTCTGTGACAAAACTTTGACCATCTCATATCTTTCATTTTATGGTTGACTTGAATGTATTTTTATTCCTAGTGTATCTTATGGCACCCCAAAAATCAAAGGTCATGCTTTTATAGTTTTGGTATTAGTGCGCCTTAATAAAGGACTAACACAGTTAATTAATAATAGTACTGGTGCTGTATATTACAGGATGTAACAATGCAAATTATGCTTTATTTTGCTGAAATGTGTCCTTCATTTGTCAGGTTTTGCTCCAGTCCCAACAGCACCCATCTCAACAGGTGAGGTGGCCCAGACCAGGGAAATAATGCTGTTTGAAAACTGCATGCATCAACAGCGGATGAATTCACACACACTAACTTCTTTAGAGGCAGTGAACATGTGTTTCCGTTCCAGTTTGTGAAGTGGGACCGCACCAGTGGGTGGATGGTTGAAATCCTTGGTCTCTTATCAAACTTCTCAGAAGAATAGCCCTGTGTGTTGCCTGTGTCTGCATGACAAAAACACTATTGTTCTGTGTTTGTGGTGTTCTCAATTGCATCTTGACTGTTACTGTCTACAAATAACAAACACAAATGTTGAAAGAAATCCATCACTGCAACATTTTTCACTTAACGTGAAATTGCTTCATATTTAATGATCTTTTCAACAATATCGATATGTCCGGTGATGATTTACTTCATACATTGACAGCCATCTTACCTTATAGTCATTTCACCCCACTAGTCCTGTTTTCAAACCATGTGGTTCAGATTTTACATTTCCAGACAGGAATCATGGGAAATCACAGGAAACACACTCATTCAGAGTAGATATGGGCCCTCATTACAAAGCTTTCCACGCCACACTGACCTCACCTGGTCTTGTTGTGTCAATGCAGTGAATATGTATTCTATGCCCACATTTGAGAATGACCTAGAGCCTGTAACAGATATTCGCATTCAAATCGTGCTTGTTTTCTATGAGGTGTATAGTCACGAGTGGGAGTTTTGAAACATTTTTCATATTCCATTTGCCACCGAGAATTGAATTCTTTGAAGTAAAACACTGCATGAGGTATTTTGGAAGCATAGACAGTATATATTCAAATCTTTTCATGTGTTTCTCATCCTCAGTTACCAATGTTATAGTATCACCTGCACTACAAGACATCCCGGCACATACTGTATGCCCTTTCTGCCAGCAGTCTGTGGTCACCAGCACAGAGCACACACCAGGCCTGTTTTCCTGGGCTGTTTGTGCAGGTCTCAGCATCTTTGGGTAAATACCTTGTTTTGGAAAGAAAGTTGTTGAAAGGGAACTGTAGAAAGAAAGTGCTTAAAGTATGAATGAAAAAAATTTGTTTCGCAATTATACAAAACTGACATCCCTCCTGTTTCCACTCACAGATGCTGGCTCTGCTGTTGCATCCCGTTCTGCCTTGATTCCTGTAGTGATGTGGAGCATCGCTGTCCAAACTGCAAAAGAACCATCTACATATACAAGAGAATGTGAAGCTGGTCTCATTCTCAGTTGGAAAGAAGCATTCATTTTAATATGTGGCCTTACTTGATGTTTAAACTTAAGGGGGAAATCAAAACGATAAAAATACAAACTTAAAATGTTTTACTTTTTGCTGATCACTTTTTTTCTTAAATACTTAAATACCAATATTTTTGTCAATATGTTGATACATATCCTCTATGAAGATGATAAAGTGAGCTGAGCCATGTCATGTCACCTTTATTATTCTCCATAACTGTTTTGAACTCATAACTGGTTAATCATATACTACATATCTTAAGCAGCCATTAAAAAACAAAATAAAAGAAAGCATTTCAACTTTTTGGAAAACTTCCAAGGCAAGTATAGTCATTGGCATGTATGTGTTCAACTCCTGGATGTAACAGTATGAGGAGCAATGCTGTGTGATGTGTTCAAGTGCTTCCACGTTGAGTTGTTCAGGCAATAGATGGTCCATTTGCAGTTGCAGGGATTCATAAGTTTGTAATGCTGGAATTTTGCTGGCCTCATGTGGCCATTCATTGAAATAGGCTGTCTGGTAGTTTGTATTTCAAGTGACATGTTGATTTTTTTTCCAACAAAAAATATTGGTGGGGTCATGGCCTTGTGGCAGTCATGTGACCACTCAGCAATATCAACCTGTGACGGATTCTGTTGTAATATGTCAAAGTAATTTGTTCAGAGGCGAGTTGTTCACACTCACTTATAGTGCTAGAAGGTAAGAACCGCAAAATTCTACAATTGTATGTTTCCAAAATATTTCCATTTAGATTAGCGTTGCAACAATGTGAAAATGGTGTGGAAATTCTAAGGAAGCATTTTTTTTCATCATAATTGATGTGAGTCACATGGACTATAGTCACATGGACTTAGACTGACAGCTAAATGATTAGTTACACTGGGATCAATAAATGGCATTTTTTAAAAGATTGGAGCACACAATCTTACTTTATGTAAAAAAACGACTTTCAAATGACTTAATGCTCCTTTTTGTATTTTTTTTGTAATTCACACAGTCACATGGAATAAATGGGAGGAGAAAAGAGGAGGAGAGAGTTCAATCTGTTCTACCCAAAGAGATACGAGATAACTTCCTCTATTGGCTTACAAACCTCCTGTAGCAGCTGTGTTAAGTCAGCTCTGAAAAAGCCTCCCTACTCTATTAAGGATTTGTTGTGATTTTCGTCACTCACAACCAGGAAGCTCAAGGAATAACTTTTTTGTGCTGTTGTGGATCCAAAGTCAGTAAGTTAATTTAGTTTTACTGTGGCTTAAAATTATTATTAGGCTGTGACGACTTAGTAAACATTTTTCTGTTTGTCAAATCTTTCTAGCTGAAACACATAAATAGTTCCTCTTCTTTAATTCTTAGTAAATACAAGAATACGGCTCAAATACCATAATCTGGATGGTGTGAAATCTACAGGGTTTAATATTTTTTCAATATATGCATGTTATTTGTTAAGCAATATGTTGACTCAATGAGGCACCACACCTCAAATAAAACAGGGCGCAGTACAAGTACATTGCTTTTTTGAAGGATGTTTCTTCATCTATGTACGTGTATGTGTGTGTGTGTGCATTGGGATCATGTTTCTCTAATTGATTTAGCAAAGGTTTCTAGTGAGACAGATAAAGGTATGTGGGACTGAATAGGCCTTTTTTAAAACGAGCGAGACTAACCATTTACATGGTCACCAAAAAAAAGGAACAGGGAAACAGAACTCTGTTCTCCACCTTAGTTCTCCCACACAGCAAATTATTACTACAATATATTTCCTCTTTATCATTTTCTGGAAACTGTTGTAACAGGCATATATTATTATCATAATATGTACATTTCAACTTCCTCTTCCAGTAAGTTTCAGCTGTACTGTGTTGTTCCATTAATAAGTTTTCAAACTCTTCCCCATAAAAATGAAGTACATTGCCAAAATTTGATTTGAAAAAAAAAAAACTTAGATAAAGAGTAGGACTTAATTCATTGTCAATCCATTTTTTTCTAAAATCCTCTCTACTAAAACTGATTATTCAGCAGTGCAGAAAGGCTCAGTGTTTCTCAGTACTGTCACAGGATGTTGACTCATACGGTGTGGACTGACCAGCAGACGGTACTGCGAGGTAAGTAAGGAGTTCACTGAAGATCTGGGATAAGGAAACTTATGCTGTAAAAGGAATTTTATTGGAGCTATTTCCAAATGACAAGATGTCCACGTCCAACAATGTTACATAACTACAAGTAGGACGGAAAGGATTGGCCACTTCAGAACGTCTTGGTCAAGATGGTCTGGAATGTTGCAGAATCCTGCCACATGCTTAATAAAGATGAAGATAGAATCTTACTGAAATAGTAACGTTGGTAAAATTAGTCTGTTTAGTTTCTGTGTATGAATCATTGTGTTTCTGGTGTTCCCCATTTTCAGTTTTCATTTGTTGCTTACGTTACATTTTCTGTTTCCCCGTGCTTTAGTTAGCCTTGTTTTTGTCATTCTGCTGTTTTCACTCATTTCCTGTGTTTCCCCGTGTCTCTGCCCCAAAGTCACACCACAGTTGAGCTGCTATAAACTTATTAAACATGCAACAGGAACTGCACAACATTCCTCTTCCAGCCATTGGTTTGCTACGCAGAACTCAATGTAGCACCATTAAACCTTTTCTGCCATTAGTTTTTAAGTTGATGACCAAAGGTTTGATGAAATAGCAGGATAACCAATCTTAAAGTTTTAACATTTAAACACACTTCTTCCTTTTATTGTTTTGAATAAACTATGTGGTTCATAATCCCAATCTGACATTTAAAAATTCTCAATTCAAGTAAAGTGAATGGATTCAAGATTAAAACTGAATCAGTGGTGATTGCTCTTACCATTGTGTGATTATGTATCTAATCTAAGGACACTCTGACACTTATTTAATCAAAATAAGAAATGTTAATAAATGACCTGTGTTTGTTTTGGAATATGAAAATGAAATGATTCATTAACTTTTATGAACATTTTCGATATTTTTCCTATCCAGACCGGACTTCTGAAGATGGAAAAAGGTTATCCATCACAGGAGGCAGCTCCACCTTACCCAGGCCCACCTGTGAATTATGGAGGCACATTCCCTCAGCCAGGGATGTATCCTCAGCCAGGATACCCCCCTGCAACGCCTCAGGCTGGCTATCAGGGAGGTCTGTGACACAGCTTTTTACCATCTCATATCTTGCCGTTTTATAGGTGACTGGACAGAAACTTTTTTTTTACAGTGTATATCATGGCACTGCAGAAATCAAAGGTTGCGCTTTTATGGTTTTGGTATCATTGCGCCTGAATAAAAGAGTCACACAGTGCATTACAGTACTGGTGGTGTATATTACAGGATTTCACAATGCAAATGAAGCTATTTTTTGCTGAAACGTGTCTTTTATTTGCCAGGTTTTGCTCCAGCCCCAATGGCACCCGTCTCAACAGGTGAGGTGGCCCAGACCAGGAAAATACTGCTGTATCGAAACTGCATACATCAACACTAAATGCATGAACGGATTAATTCACACACATTATGTTCAGAATTTGGGCGTCAAGGTGTCTTGCCATCATTAGTCATGCTCTGGGTACATGCACAGGACTGGACTGGACTGTTTGTTTATTGCAGGAGTCAACTCTATCCTTCCTTTCTCCACGGACATTTCAGACTCCTTATGTCCACATTCTGTGTTATGCCGTGCGTCTTTGAGAACTAAACCACGGTTCACAGTTTCAAGTGTTCACCACAACATGTGTGTGTGTCTTCATTTGGGATTATTCATTTTTGTTCTGGCCGGACAACCTGTGCAGTTTGCTATTTTTCCCTAAACCAGCCCTATACAGTCTTTTCAGAGTGCCATACCTAGCACCAATTTTTACGCACTAACTTCTTTAGAGGCAGTGAACATGTGTTTCCGTTCCAGTTTGTGAAGTGGGACCGCACCAGTGGGTGGATGGTTGAAATCCTTGGTCTCTTATCAAACTTCTCAGAAGAATAGCCCTGTGTGTTGCCTGTCTCTGCATGACAAAAACACTATTGTTCTGTGTTTGTGGTGTTCTCAATTGCATCTTGACTATTACTGTCTGCAAAAATGACAAAAGAAATCTGTCACTGCAACATTTTTCACTTAACGTGATAAATGTTTGATAGTGAATGGTATTTTAAATATCCAGACAGGAATCATGGCAAGGCACAGGAAACACACTCATTCAGAGTAGATATGGGCCCTCATTACAAAACTTTTCACGCCACACTGACCTCACCTGGTCTTGTTGTGTCAATGCAGTGAATATGTATTCTATGCCCACATTTGAGAATGACCTACAGCCTGTAAGAGATATTTGCATTCAAAATCGAGCTTGTTTTCTATGAGGTGCACAGTCATGAGTGGGTGTTTTGAAACATTTATAATTTATAATTTGTCTCAGTCATTACCATACTGGCATATATTTAGACAGATCATGTCTTTATGCATCCACAAGGGGTCAGTATCTATTCAAATACTGGTATTCATATGGAAATGAAAAAGAAAACGGGAATGGAACATACTGGAGTGGACATGAGTTTTATGAGGGCTTTACTGATCAAAACGTTGAAATGCCTCTGAGAAAGTAGTCCTTGGAAGGAAAACTACAATCTCTGCATTAGGCAAAGAAAATCAAATCTTATCATGTGTTTCTCATCCTCAGTTACTCATGTTACAGTAACACCTGCACTGCAAGAGGTCCCGGCACAAACCGTATGCCAATTCTGCCAGCAATCTGTGGTCACCAGCACAGAGCACATACCGGGCCTGTTAGCCTGGGCTATTTGTGGAGGTCTAACCATCATTGGGTAAATACCTCGTTTTGGAAATAAACTTGTTGCATGTTAAAGTTTTTAAGGAACCTATAAAGCAGAAAACATTAATAATACAAAGCTGAAAATGAATAGGAATGTGCACAAAATATTTCGTTTCACAGTTATAGAAAACTGAAAGCTCACATCCCTTCTGTTTCCGCCCACAGATGCTGGCTCTGCTGTTGTATCCCGTTCTGCCTTGATTCCTGTAAAGATGTGGAGCATCGCTGTCCAAAATGTCAGAATGTTATCTACAGATACAAGAGAATGTAAAGCGTTCTTGTTCTGACTTGGACAGAAAAGTTAGTTCTAACATGTCATTAGAGACTGGCTTTCTTTTCAATATTCAGGAATAAAACCCAAAACAAATAATAGTTCACTCGTCACTGATCACTTTTTTTTAATGAATGCTTTAACTTGGACAGAAAGTTTGAGTTTCATGGAGCAACCAGATATTTAGATGAAAATATGCCAATGAAAAGTTTTTCATCAAACATTTAATCATATTTGTTTATTGTACATTTTACACCACATTTTGATGATTTTTGTATGCTTATAGTTTTTTTTGTCTGTTGACATCTCTTTACTGTAGCCTCTGTGAAGAAGGATAAAGTGAGCTGAGCCATGACATGTCACCTATAAGAGCTACAAAACTGTTTTAATCTCATTACTCACTGCTATCTGTTTGTTAGAGCTTAATTTTACTGAATTAGTTCAGCCTGAAAAGTATTTAAATTTTTACAACTTAGTTATATTATTCACCCAGGTGAATTGTTAAAATAACACATCAAGAATTAAATAATGTTGTTGCTTTTGATAATATTGTATGTTTGATTATAATAATTCTTCATCGTGCTTCCTATCCCAACCATCCAAATAAAATTGGTCTGTTTAGTTTCTGTGTTTGAATCACTGTTTCTGGTGTTCCCCATTTTCAGTTTTCACTTGTTACGTTACATGTTCTGTTTCCCCGTGCTTTAGTTAGCCTTGTTTTTGTCATTCTGCTATTTTAATTAGTTTCCTGTGTTTCCCCGTGTCTCTGCCCCAAAGTCACCCAACAGGAACTGCACAGCACTTCTTTTCCAGCCATTGGTTTGGTCATGACCCAGACATTTTCAGACTAGGATGCTACGCTGAACTCATTGTAGCATTATTAAAGCTTTTCTGCCATTAGTTTTAAGTTGATGACCAAAGGTTTGATGAAACAGCAGTATAACCAATCTTTAACATTTAAACACACTTCTTCCTTTTTTGTTTTGAATAAACTATGTGGTTCATAATCCCAATCTGACATTTAAAAATGGTCAATTCAGTTAAAGGGAATGGATTCAAGATTAAAACTGAATCAGTGGTGATTGTTCTTAGCATTGTGTGTTTTCAATTATGGAATTACCTTCTGACACTTCCTCATCCACTTATATAATGAAAATAAGAAATGTTAATACATGAAGAGTGGTAGTTTTGCAATATGAAAATGAGACGGTTGAACAACTTTTATGAACATACAGAATATATTTTTCTTATCCAGACCGGACTTCTGAGGATGGAAAAAGGTTATCAATCCCAGGAGGCCGCTTAACCTTACCCAGGCCCACCTGTGAGTTATGGAGGCACATTTCCTCAGCCAGGGATGTATCCTCAGCCAGGATACTCCCTGCAACTCCACACTGGCTATCGGGGAGGTCTGTGTTTTGCTGAAGGGTGTCTTTTGTTTGCCAGGTTTTGCTCCAGCCCCAGCAGCACCCCTCTGATTCTGTTACATTTGTATGACCACGATAACATCACCCTCTGATGCTACGGACGTCCCCTGTGCTTCCCTGAAGTCACATGATTTTAGGTAATGCACTTCAGACAAAAGTGAAAGTAAAGAAAATATAGAAAAAGCTCGGTGAAACCTTGACTAGTAGGGCAGTTATTCAACAACTGCAGTTCTCTCAACAAGTAAAGGTAAGTGTTGAATTTCTTATTGATTGTGGAACTTTTCTGATTATTTTGGAGTCACCATGTGTTAATTCAGTGGCTAAAAAAAATACATAAGAAAATATTTTTTTTTGGTTTACTTTTTATATCTTGATTATCACTGGAATGCTGCTGGTATGACCTCATTGTGCTGTTATCTTAGTGCTGAAAGGTGAATACTGTACTTTTGATTAGTATATATTTATTCATTATCAGAATAGAATGAAATGCTTCTCAATATTCGAAAGACAAGGGCTGCAAAACCATTCGAAGACAATTATGCAAACAGCGTTGTCAGGAAGGTGAGTTCTTGAGGGAGGACTCAGGTGCGGAGATGACGGAAGACAAGGTTTATTGTAACAAAAAACACTTTTAGCAGTATTGAGGGTTTTCCTGACATAACACAGAAATTAGATGAGACAGTTTTCAGTTTCAGTTTCACTTGATTCTATTCAAAATTGTGAGATTAATGCATTTATGCAATAATAATGCAATGTAAACACCTTTTTTCTTTACAGATATGGGAGGAAATTCATGTAAGTCCTTACTTGTTATGCATTTAATATTAAAATAATTTTTCTTTTGATGCTGCATGTTCCTTCTTTTACAGTTTTTACAAAAAATAATGCAGATATTCAAACACAGTGTTGCCATTCTATTCACATCATTAATTTTCTCTGCAGCGCTTTACAGGAATCCATGGAGGGTTCTGCCAGAGTAAGTAAAAAATATACATATGTCATTGTGACATACTGAACTATATTTTATTATGGTGTTTAACACCATTTGAAAGGTATGGTGTTTTATGATAATTGTTTTTAATTGGCAGCAAAGATAGGGAAATGATTGAGTTTGTCAAATGCTATCACTCTGAAAATGAAGATGTCAGCCATCTCAGAATCCTGCTTCAAGGACCTGTTGGTGCTGGCAAGTCCAGTTTCATCAATTCTGTTGAATCCGTCGTATGTGGCAGAATCAGCGGTCAGGTTATGACTGATGCTGCGTCTGGGACCAGTTTCACCAAAAGGGTATGGAAAGTTATCAATTTGTGTTAAAAGTTATGGCCCCAAATTACACTTAGAATTTCCTGTCAGCACTGACAGGTATTTGTTATTACAAAAAAATTATCACACATCTTGTTGTATCCTTAGAACAACTAATTTATGTGTTGCTTTTACATGTTTTTATTTGTATTGTTATAGATGACCCCATCTTTTTATTTCAGTTCAAAACTTGCAAAATTTCCAAGTATGAACGTGGAAACGAAAAATGTTCTTTTGTCTTCAATGACATCATGGGTTTTGAGGGGAATAATGGTGGCATCCACGTGGAAGATGTCAAACTTATCCTGAATGGACATGTGGAAGAAGGTTATGAGGTCAGAAGTTATTCAAAATCTTAGTCTTAACAAACGCAGAGCCTAACCCCCATAGAAAAATAAAACCCTGACGGGGAGATACACATGAATATATTCTACTTTGTAAGTTGCTTTGAATAAAAGTGTCTGCTAAATGCAAAAACATAAACGTAAAACAAGACACAATTTTTGCTTAAATATCCTGCATCAAAGGAACTAATCACTCTAATACAAGTGGTGATGTATTTTTAATCTTTTTCTAGTTCAAACCTGGACGTCCTTTGAAAATGGGTGAGGCTGGCTACGACTGCAGTCCCTCTCTCTCTAAAAGAACCCATGTTCTTGTCAATGTTATTCCTGCTGCATCTGTATCTTTATCAAGTGAGGATGTCTTAAAGAAGATGAGAGATGTCAGACTGGAAGCCAGCAAACTGGGTATGAGAAGATATCATGGTAGTTTTATATGAATTTGCTAGGCAACGAACAGTTTTGTGGAACACTAACTAAATTTAAAATAAGTGTTGATGATTCTGTACAGAGATTCCACAGTTTGTCATTCTCACCTAAGTTGATGAGGCCTGTCCTGAAGTGAAAAAAGATATAAAGAATATCTACAAGAGCATTTGCCTAAAGGAACAGGTAAAAATCTTTATGAAATGATGTATGCATTTTTTGGATTTTAAATCCTGAAACCTTTAAGATTTAAACTTTAACATAAAATTTACAGAGCCCCCTATTGGCCACACGGGGAAATATAATTCTGAGGTCCTGCTCTCCCACACTGAATTTGTTCCGCCATAAAATGTTCCCTCACAGCACTCGGATGCATAGTGAAAGCTGTTGCAATCTATTTCCTGTCACATCTAGTAATTTCTTTTTATTATCTGTTGGAAAATTTCAGAACCTGACAAACCTAAGCAGTCTATTCTTTTGCATTAACATGGAGCAACAGAAATTATGCTAATTTTAAGAATAAGAAAATAATGATGTCGATAATAAGGGGTCTTTTCCTGTTGTAGTCTCCACTTTCAGGTTACTGATTACTCTAAATGTCTTTACTCTGAATTTTAGGTGGTTAAAATTCACCAGAAGCTGGGCATCCCGCTGAATTGCATCTTCCTTGTGCAGAACTATTTTTCAAGTGTGGAAACAAGCAATGACATCAATGTTCAGATAATGTCTGCAATGCAACAGATGATCAACTTTGGAGAAGACTTCGTCACTAATCAGTAGACCTGGGGAAGCACACCGCAAAAGTGTATCATCAATAATACAATTTTTACACAACATTTTACATGGTCATTATGCATCTATAGACAATTTCCCTCTCGTTCTGCGTTATACAATTCTTCAATGGAGATTGTGGAGAGGCTGTTGAAAGAAAAAATGAATAACACAGTTGATCCCAGATACGTATTTATTTTCTAAGGAAGCTAGAAATATTAACAGAGCATTAATATAAATGTGTCACTGCAAATCATCTTGTGTTTATTACATGGTGTGACGTCATCACGTGATCTGGTCAACGACTCAGCTGTTGGAGGGTTGATTCATAGGCCCTCGGAAATGTTGTAAATAGGCCATCACAATGAGCGGGCAATGCAGCATACAATTCTTTCGACAAAAAAATATCACACTGTTTGCTCAAATAAAACCTTCTTTCAACATTATATATGCTATATATTTTTTTTTAATTATTATCTTTTAGTATTACGTTTTGTCTTGAACGTTTGTCTTTGGTCTGACAAGGTTTATGAGAACTGCAAGCTTAGGAGAGGTACTTGAAAGCAGCATTGGACAAGTGAGGAATAAATAGGAAGAAATCCACGTAGCCCGTCTTGCATCGTAATTGTACATCCGTTCGCTCTTGTCAATGTGTCCGTTTGTCTAAAAGCTGCTTTCAATTAAGGGAGAAAGGGTGTTCATAGTGGCGGGGTAACACGGGAAAACCCACACTGGTCCTGTTTTCTGTAAGGGAGAGGACTAAAATGGAGCTGGAAGACGGAGTTGTGTACCAGGACGACCCGGGGACATCAGCAATGATGTCTGAGCGGGTATCGGGCCTGGCCAACTCCATATACCGCGAATTCGAGAGACTTATCGGCAAATACGACGAAGATGTGGTGAAGGAGCTGATGCCGCTGGTCGTGGCCGTGCTGGAGAACCTGGACTCGGTGTTTGCCGAGAACCAAGAGCACGAAGTGGAGCTGGAGCTGCTGAAAGAGGACAACGAGCAGCTCATCACCCAGTACGAGCGGGAGAAAGCGCTTCGGAAACATGCGGAGGAGGTGAGTTGAATAGAAGCAGGGACCAAACAAACACTGACAAATAGTGCTCCTTTTGTTTGTCCGTGTGAAGGGGAAAAATACTTTCCTGTGGTGCCTTCGCCCCCCCCAGCATCCCTGAGCGTTGAATTAGCCTCTACACGTGGACTGGCAACATCCTGGGTGGCTACCGGGGATGTAAACAAGGCAGTCCCCACCAAAGCTAACGTCAGGCTGAAACGACCCAGTCGTTCATTTTCTAGCGGGATAGCCAGTGACATAACTCTGTAATCCTGGGGCAGGCTGCATACCTCAACGAAGACATCACGAGCAGAACTCCCACACACCTCCCAGTCACATACACCCATCATATTGAGGATTGCAGATGATAATGAAGTCGGTTCTGAGTCATAAAAGACTCAGACTGAGGGACCAGCAGGTGAAGTGACTCAGCGTTTCGGGCCATGACTGTACCACATGTCAATATGATAAGAGGGAAAGAAGGTGTAGAATTGAAATGATTAATACGCCCAAAGAGCTATTAATGTGAGTGCTTCATTGACAGCACTGATGATTTGCATCATGAATTGTGAGGTTTGGTCCTCTCTCAAAACTGTGGACCGAAATCAGTTAATAGATTTAACCTCTGAGAGCTTTGAAAATCATGATTTTCTTCCACTGTTACCTCCATTATACTGCGAAAAATTAAGTACAAAATGTCCAGTATTTCTGGAGAATAGTGTAAAAACATTAGTAAACAATTGTACGGAAAGCAGAGCTCTCATATTGCTGGGTTTTGGGGATTGGTGCCATCTAAGTTCAAAATAGTTACTAGGGAAATTTCTATCAAACCCAATGTGGAATTTTTGTTATTTTTTGTAGTAATGAACTCTGATGGTTGTTTTCAATAATGATAATAACAGTAATAATAAACCATGTGACTAACTAAGTTGTTTGAAAGTGTTTAAAGATTGATCTCAATAATGTAGTTGTATTATTAGGATTAGCCTTATTAAGATCAGTGTTTGATATTCCACATGTATTAACTATAGTCACAACATATCTGACAGAGCCACATTAGATACAGACTTAGCAGTCCTGTAAACAAACCATCTTGTTTGCCCAACAGGTCTTCATATTTGCCGTTAAGATTCTTTTCTCAACAACTGCTGCACGGAACAGCTTTATTGGACATTTTATTGTACTTGACACGAAAGCAATTTGTTTGTGTATAATAGGTAGTGAGTGATCTGAACTGATGCTCCCTTTCTTGACTTTTTCAGACACTACTAGTCTAGTCAAACCTTCAGGAGGTGTGTGTAAGATATTGGCTGAGATAATTCTCAAAGTGTAATGTGAGTAGCATTTGTAATGTTGGACTTATGAGTTGCATGAAGAGTGATGTGATGTGACCTGCACAGTCTGTCACAGCTTGCTGCTTTGACTTTGACTTTGGTTTTACCACAGCAGGGAAACGGGCCCAGTTTGCTTTGGATAGGCTGCACATTCAGAGGCATGATGACAGCAGTGGCAGACTCATACCTGTGTATAAATAAACACACACTCTCAGGATTGTCTTGGAAAACGTTCATCCAAAGCCGTGAGAAGAGCTACAGCAATCTGCTGGAGAGGCCTGGAGTTACTTCCAGGTCATGTGATCCTTTGTTAGAGGAGAAACATCCTCCAGCTTCCAATTTGGCATTTTCCTCCTTTGTTTATTGTCTTGAGCCAAAGAACCCCCCCCACACACAAGGAGAGTTAAGGGTGTCACATTTCTTTTCAGGATGCTGCTCTTAAATGGCAGAAACAGTTAGATGATTCACATTTATTATGCTGTTTTACAGCTTTTGTGTGTTTAGCGTTGACTGCTTATTGTTCCAAATGAACCAAACCTGTGGTAAAAAGTAGTGAGTAAATGTAGCCCATTTACTGTTCAGAGCAGGTCAGTCTGTGGCTGAGTCCAGAAATAGATCATCCTAAATTTGTTTCCCTCCTTTTAATGTCTTATGAGGATGCAGACATAAAAGGAAACATTAGAAATTACTACTGATACTATAAATAAAATGAACCACATACATCATGTAAGGAATCAACCCAGCTGCTCACATCATTCCAAACATAATGTTTTTTCTTTCAGATTAGTGTCTGTCAAGCTTCCTTATTACCAGTGGATTGCTTTAAGTGATATTTCTCACACATTCTGTATCGAGCCCTTCAAAACAATGGTTAAAAATGCTAATGAAGATGCAGAACTTATGGAGGATTCATTTTACTTTGCAGTCATATTGTTCAAATGAATCTTCTTTGTATTTAATTGTACATCGAGGCAAAGGAAGGCGTGTGTGCCCAGAGGAAGAAGGAGGACTACTTAAGGGCATCGGCTTGCTCAGCTGGACAGGATGTGAACACACAAACACACATGCATTTGTTTCTACTCAGAGTTCTGTCCAGCGAGAAACCAGTAGGAACTCCAGATTTCTTATCTGAGTAGACGCAGCGTGTGAATAAAGATGCAGCCTCATTACAAATATCAACTGATACTGGACATTGTTGCTATTTTGTTTCTTAAGCAGATGATCAATCATGGGTGGGTGGATCGCTGCTTTGGAACTAGTGGCACATTTTTCAAATAAATCTCAGTCACCATAAGGAAACAGTAAAAAGTCAGGTGAAATTAGGCTTAAGTGCCATCAGACTGATGATAACATATGTGCCAATGAGCCTGATCATCTCTTTGTGACTATGTGTATACATGTATGTTGTGCTTGAGCAGAAGTTCATCGAGTTTGAGGACACTCATGAGCAGGAGAAGAAAGACCTCCAGAACCACGTGGACAGGATGGAGTCTCAGTCTCGGCAGCTTGAACTCAAGATCAAGAATTACGCTGACCAGAGTAAGCAATCACTGATTTAATCATTAGGAGTCATCAGTAGTGTTGTCATTCTTCTGCTTTACTCATTCTTTTTCTTCTCGTCAAATTTGACTGTGACGTCTCTTATATATCTTATTATACATATATGTTGAAAATACCACACACTTTCTCCCTCCCAGAAGGATAACAGTAATGAGATTATAGGATTTCTGTTTTACCCACCCTCAAAATGTGGCTTTACATTACTGCTCATCTTAATGGTGGATTAGCTAGTGTAGGCAAAATGTGGATTCTCACACTGACAAGTGCTTTTTGTGGTTATATGACAGAACTGCGCAGCTGGTTAAAGTGAGTCACTCACACAGTTTTTGGTAGGAAGAAATTCTTTCCTTTTCCTTTTCAACTCTATGGAGAAGCATTAACAACAGAAGTTGCTCATTTAAAGTTTAATCTGATAAATCCAATTTTGATTTTACAATTTAGATAGAGTTTTTTTGTAAATATGTCCTATTGTCTGGTTGCAGTCATGGCTTTGCTGTTTCCTCTGTTTGAATGAATGTAGTACCCCCCCACCCCCAAGTAATCTCACACACAGTTTGACTGCCATGGCCACTCCCAGTAGTGAATCATTCATTCACCACTGTGTGTTGAAGTGTCTGATTGGATTGCTTCTGGAGTCATAGTCCAGTCACATGTCAGAGATCATAAGCAATGTCAGTGTGGCTCAAAGCTGCCAAATAAATAATGTTTATTTTAAAAAGAGGAAACAGAACACTTTTCCTTCTAAAAGTTAAATAGTAAAATAATTCCTTATTAAGTCTTTGATTGAAGGGAATAAATTCGAGTTTTAGAAGACAAATATCCAATAATTGATTATTTCATTGCAGCTATGTGTTTGAATTTACTTTGATTGTAAAGAAGTTTACATTAATCTATTTTAAAAGTATTAGACAAAACAACGTATTCCCAGAATGTTTCCCACGGTTTCTTCTCCTTTTTAATTAGAGAAGGTGTGCCAGGTTATTCCCATTGATTTAACTGCGAAGAAATTAGGTTTTAACCTGAATTAAAAAGGAGAGCGTAATAATTTGGAGGAACGGCCACAGTTTCAAGTCACTATTTATGTAAGATTTGCCCAAAGCAGCGACTTTAAAAATTTTTCTCAGGGCAGCCATGGCCCAGTGAGGAGTGTGGTTGTACATTTACTGATAGGTACTTTGATCCTCCGTTTGGTCACAGTGCACTACCTCAGAGTGCGCACATATATGTATGTAAGAGGAAGTGTGAATAATACATTACTTCTGATGCTGCTTCCAGAATTTACACAGAATTAAAAAATCTTGTCTAATTGAACAGACAGTGAGCATCCCATTATAAAATACAGTAATTACATAATCGGAAATATAGTTGATATCTTTTATCTGAAATACTTACAAAATAGAGAGAAACAGTTTTGGCCAAGCATAACTCCACTTTTAAATTGAACATACCGCCTTGTGCAGCTGTCATTAATCATCCATGCATCTAAAGTCTTCGTTTTTTAAAGTTTTGATTGAAAGGATGTCAGCTCTCATGTTCACTTTATCTACATTTGTTAACACAACGACACACAGAGTAAAAAGCCCCTTAGGCCGTCTATCTTAAGTTTTCCCCTCTTTTCTTCCCTCGTCTCTTCTCAGTTTGATGAGTTATTGCAGCTGAGTTAATCCCATGCCAAAGTGCGCACATAATTGGGACATCATCAGACGACATGCTGAAGCAGAAGCTGCTGTAACTGATAGTATCCAAGCTTTACACTCCGTCTGCAGCAGCAGCTCAATGGCATGGCTTTGGCTAAACCTGATGCGTTAATAGGGGATTAGGTGTTTTTGTCACTTCCTAAGTCTTCGCAACATGCATTTGAGTGAGATTACCCTCTATGCCGACAACAGTGCCTGTCTGGCAGAGTAAAATGATTTTAGCCCCTAACACTGTACTGAGGTGTAATAAATTACTCCTCAAACAAGGTTGAAAATAATGGCGAGGCCTAAAATGCTTGTAAAGATTCTGTGGTTGATACCCCTTTTATGACATCTTGTTATTCTGGTTTTGTTTTTCCCTTGTGTGTCTGCTGTAAAATGAGCAAATTACACTGAGTGCAGTGCTCTGTTTTAGTTGGCAGGTTAGAGGAACGAGAGCTGGAGCTTAAGAAGGAATACAACTCCCTCCATCAGCGACACTCAGAGGTAAGGTGGAAGGGACTATTATTGTGTTGTGGCCATTGACAAATGACGAGTTACTGGTAGTGAGTAGTGTTTCACATTTACTTCTGCAGATGATTCATAACTACATGGAACATGTAGAGCGGATCAAAATGCAGCAGATTAGTGAGACATCAGAATCGAGCATGGCCGGCCGAGTCAGGTAAGGTGATAATGTTGCCCTTTGTGGTGCGACGTTTCCTTTGGAATTGTCTCCGAGCACACGTGATTAAAGGTTTTATTTCTATCTTTATAGGAGAGAGCGACCTCTTTCTTTGGGTATATTCCCATCATCTGGGGCTCCGTCTCTTATAATACCAGATTCCCACGCCCGAGCAGAGACTCCAGGCACAGAGGGCTGGAGGCTCACCGACTCATTGCAGCCGCGGTCCAACACTAGTCTCAAGGTGGGAATGTGTGTGGCACCACAAAATAATTTTATGTCCGATTCTGGGTAGGATGTTGGTTCTCTAATGTATGATTAACCACAATTCCCTGAATAAAATAAGCACATTTTTACAAAAAAAATAGGTGTGCATATTGTAGATGACCACAGTAAAAAACAAAGATTATTTGGTCTTGATTGAGGCCAACCTTGACTTATACCCTTATATGGAGGTAGGGGATTCTGCCATCAGCTGCTAGTCGACGCTTGTTCCTTGTTATTTTCTTACATAATAAATCACTGTAGTGCCAGTGGTTATTCGATCTAAATTGAATTACATGTGGTTTCTGAAAATTTAATCCAATAGATACAGTAGGAAATATTAATAAACCACAAGTATGAAATGCGATAGCCTTTTTTTGGTCGTCATTTTAGCTTTTACAACAACTATGTTTTAGGTAGGAGGCTGCATAGATTCATTTAGAGGCACTGCGTTTTTTTGTTTCTTTTTTTTTCTTTGGATTAGCTGAAAATGTTTATTAGACATGGGAAGGACCTTTGCCAACGGAAAGGGCAAATTTGGGGATGCATATTATCGCAACATGCGTTTAATATGTGGGAAATTACAGTAGCTAAACTGAAGGAAAAAAACTTCTCCATCGAACTTGAATAAATGTGCTGGTACCAGGATGAACTAATGTTTAAAGCCTGAGGACTCTGTAAATTAAAACAAAAATAACAATTACACGAATTATGGCTGCTTACATTCCTTTTCCAGTTATTTTGAAAGACAGATGAGTTTTGGCTTTAAAACAGAGATCTTTTGATAAGGTTGGGATGTGTTTGTGTGTACTCTAGATGGTGTCTCACAAAGCCTCCTCTGTTTTCAGACTCCTCTTTAGCCGCTGATGAATATTCAAAATTATCAGGTGCAGCAGCCAGAGGAGATAATCAAACGTTTCACATGAATATCTCTCCTACACTTTCCTTTTTAGCTTGCATCTACAAACAATTTGATGTGGTTTGAATTTTCACATTCATCATATGGTGTTTTTCCCATGACTCAAAGGAACCTCAGACCACTTTTGCTAAATCTCAGAACACTGATAAATCCTATCATGTAGATGCAAATTCAGAGTCAGTTGTGATTGGATTTCTCTCTTCACTTCAGTTCAGCCGTTGAATGTGCCATCTGTGACAGTTAGGACCTGTCTGCAGGGTGTATGGATTTCATTCCAGCTCTGCGTTTTTGTTAGAACTGGGACATCAGCTCTGCAGCGCCGTGCGTGGTTTGAGTGATGCTGCTGCGTGGCATGCAGCCAGTCACTGAGACAGCTTCGCTGTGATTTGATCATATCACAGTCACAGCATTAGGACTGTTGTTGTTTTAGCACATCGAATGTATAATTTATTGATTATGTGCACGTACATACATGCCAGCCATTATTTTGATCTCCTTCTACAGTATGAGTCATGTAAGCAAAAGCATGCCACTGCCTTTAAAATGCTTCCACAATTATTTAATATTTTAATACCAAGTAACAATTTACCATAATACTCACTTCTATCAATTCTATCCAATTATCTTTTCGGATATTCCTTCGTAAATATGACTGTAAACATTACTCAGTTTTCTAGTGCTTCAACTAATAATGGTAATATTAAAGATCATATGACAACCTTAATTTTTTCGGATTAAACAGCAAACATCAAGCTTTAAATTTTACTCTCTCATCAGCCAAAGAAATGTGTAAAATAATAAATCTGTTAAAAGATTATTAGATCATTACCACTTCACCTCGCTTTAAAAAGTCTTTAATCCAAAATCACGTGTGAGTTATTTGAATCTAAACTAAACTTAAGCCTTCTTTGAAGCCTCTTGTCTCCGTTAAAAAATATTATGTCTTATAAATGATAAAACATGATGATCAGCTTTGAGCAAATATGGATAAAGACCCTCTACTGCTTTACAGTTTAAGGGTAAGGCACTTACGCAAACAGCTTAGAGTTGTGAACATACACGTTTCCATTCACTTCACAGACATGCACACTTTTGGGTGTTTGCATATCTGTTGAACTGCTTCTCCACATATGGGCTTCATTGTTACTCTTCCCCCCAAGCAGTTGGACTTTGTGGACCCCCCAAAGGAAAGGGAGGGTAAGAGTGCGCAGGACTCTACTACTTGGGGGAATTCACTGGCAGACGACTGCAAGGTAGTTGGATGAGTGTCAGCATCAGCACTCTTGCACTGGCTGTGGACGACACACTTTGTTTACGTGTGTGTGTGTGTTTGGGCTTCAGTGCTGTAGTTTCCTCCATTACTCTGTTTCATCTTTTTTGATAGACCACGCCCTCATTTGCTGTGCATTTAGAGAGCGCCTGTGCTGTCCAGTGCCAAATGCAACCAGGTCCTGTATAAAGGCAAATTTACTGTACACATATGGAACTTGTTGGTTATTGTTAAAATGATAACAGCTTGGTTGCATCTGGTGCCTAGTTTGATTTAGTGTCAGTTAAAATGCATGTGTTTCGTGTTTACTTGCTTTGTAATTTTGCTTCATTCATGTAGATTTTCAGCATTCCTGATCGAGCCATTGTAGATTAGCGTTCTCTATTTAAATGAGAACTCCTTTGCTGTTGTAGTTGTGTAGACTCAAACTTCATCTTAGAGAGAATTCAATTTCTATTTCTTCTGAAATTGTTTGTTTACTCTCTGTAGATTAGCTTTGTTTTGAAGAGGAAAAATAACACCAACGTTCTTTATTTTTGTTGATGTTTTTGTGTTGTGTTGCGTGGAATATGTGTTTGTTTGCCAGCTCTGCATCGTTGACGTTGTCTCTGTGGGTGTGATGTAAAAGTTACCACTGACTGTGTTTCAAGAATATTTTCTTTGTATGGGAATTGTTTTGTTTAGTGGTAATTTCACTAAAACAATTCCACATCGTTTAGTGTTAAACTTGGCTCTCATGTCTTCTTGTCTCTGTCTAACTTTTGTTCTCCAACTATAAACTCTATCCTGTTGGTGTTAACCCTGACACAGTGTTTTCTGTATATGTTCTGTGTTTTCTTTTTTCTTTTTCTATCACAGGTAATTTTTGCTACATGTCACTGTCAATCTACATTTCGATAAATCCCTTTTGATTTCAGGATGAATTATCAGATGTCTCAGGCTCCAAGTCGGCTACACCAATGTCAACCACCACATCGGACATGGAGAAGGAAGATGGGAATAGCAAGAGCATGGAGGTACAGGCTGCCCCAGGGACCAGATCAATATCAGTGGGTAGGTAAAAAAAGATAATTTTTAACCCTGATTAGAGTTACAAAGGGTTGTGAACTTCTTTGGTTCCCTCAGCAAGTGGCCTCATGTAGGCCTTTTAAACTGTAAATTTTTCAAAGAAATATGCCCTCAGACTCTCTCTTTACAAGTCAAAGATGTGCTACCCAGCTCAGAATTTAGGACTATTCTTACATAATCTTTTTTTTCCATTTCTACTAATTATAAAACACTAAATATATCTATGTGGTGTAAAGTGAAAAACAGCAAATAAGTAATTTCTGAGCCCTGAAGCACCTTTGACATTTTATGTTAATTTTCAAAAAGTATATTTCCCCACCCATGTCCTATTATTATTATTATTATTATTATTATTATTATTATTATTATTATTATTA